CCAGGTTGTTAACATTCTGCTTTCCATACTTGAACCTCAATCCTGCAAAGTGTTTCAGGTTGTTTTGCCCCAGCAAAGTGAATATCCCTAACATTTGCAGGCTCTGTTCCTACATTTAACCAAGTAACTAATGAAAAAGGCTGAATGTTTAGAAGCTGTTCCTATTGGGGTTAAAGCTGGTTTCCTAAACACAGACCTGTGTTCTCTCCTTGTAACCTGGTTATGGACCATGTAATCTATGGCACACTTTTAGAGTATAATCATATGTAAAAGTCCTTGGTCAAAAAAAGCAAGCAGACAACACTAGATCTCAGCAAACCACAAATGTGCTTTGAGATGTGAGTGTGGGCAGACCCAGGAGCTGAAGACTATGCTATGCATCACGCAGAGGGTAATTTTATGCTGACTTAAAAGGAAAACAAACCAAAACTAAACAAACCCAAGAAAAATGGCAAACCAAACCCTCTAACAAATCTGATTCAACCTGAGATCTTCATATGGCTGTGATTTGTGATTAGTTTAGTCTTTCCTTCCCGGATGGCCTCTACTGGCTTTCAGTGATGTAGCAAAACACATCGTCCTATGCTTCTACCCCTGAATTAAAAGCAGCCTGCAGTCCTTGCTCACAGGTCTGCCAGCTGAAAATTCAAAACTGCTTTATTTTTCCCTTTTTGGACCATACTCTTTACACACATGCACATGCACGGAGCTCCTGAAGGGGTCAATGGGAGTATATTATTCAGGGATAAGGAAGAGAATACAAGCCTGTCTTGCTGGTGTTTTTCCTAGGATCAGGTGGAAAGATGGTATTTGCAGGATACAGTTTGCTGGAACAATGCCAGGCTCATGCCAGCTGCTGCAAATTCATGGAATCATAGAATTATTTAGCTTGGAAAAGATGGTAATAAGCCTATTTCTATGCGAAAGAGCTTATTGCTAATAATTTCTGTCAGCTTCTAACCAATTAGTGGGTTTGTTTTGTTCTTAAATCAGATGTTTCCAAAAAGTATTTTATTTTCTGTTTTTACTGCAGTTTTTTAATGCAGTACTAATGGTTGTCAGCTCCATCTGACTCATCCAGCCCAGAAACCAACTTAGGTTGGTTTCTAAAGAGAAAAGCTAAAGTAAAAGATAAAATACAAAATATTTCCCCCCAAAAATTGCTTTTTCCTCTTGCCTGGAATTAATATGAACAGATTTCACAGTAAGAAGTCAAATATTTTGCTCCTCTGCTCTGTTCTCATGAGACCCCACTTGCAGCACTGTGTGCAGTGCTGGTATCCCCAACATAAGAAGGACATGGAGCTCTTGGAGCAAGTCCAGAGGAGGCCACGAGGATGATCAGGGGCTGGAGCACCTCCTGTGTGGGGACAGGCTGAGAGCATTGGGGCTGTTCAGCCTGGAGAAGCTGATTGGAGAGCTCAGAGCAGCTTCCAGTGTCTGAAGGGGCCTACAAGGATGCTGGAGAGGGACTCTTCATCAGGGACTGTAGTGACAGGACAAGGGGTGATGGGTTCGAACTGAAGCTGGGGAAGTTCAGGTTAGATCTAAGGCAGAAGTTCTTCCCTGTGAGGGTGCTGAGGCACTGGCGCAGGTTGCAAAAGAAGTGGTGAATGCTCCATCCCTGTCATTGTTCAAGGCTAGGTTGGACAGGATGTGGAGCAGCCTGGTCTAGTGGAAGATGTCCCTGCCCATGGCAAGGAGTTGGAACTGGATGAGTTTCAAGGTCCCTACCACAAACCGTTACGTGATTCTGTGATTCTATGAATCTGCAAATAGCCAGGCTGTAACCATTTGGGCTCTAGGCTGGGAGAGGACACCAAATAGTGGGTGTACCTGGTAGGAGTCAAGCAGACACAAGTCAAATTCTTCAGAAAGCATTGACCCTAAGGTGATGATCTCACCATCTGATGCACAGAGGCACTGTTGAAGAGCCATGTTTTGCCGCAGTACCCATTTTGAGCTGTTCTAGTAAGATACAGTAACTTCAAAGCATGGTGGGAGATCCTGTATATGTTATTGTGAGCAGTAGACAACCTCTGCTCTCTTTCTTGTGCCACAGCTTTTCTTTTTCCATAAACATTAAGGAGGAAAATAAGGAAATAAAAATAAGTGGCCAGTACCATTCAGGTTTCCAGGTCACATCAGTCTGTATCACGAAGCAGGCATCAGAGCTGGCATAGGCCATCAGAGGGCCTGGGGGCTAGATTGTTCATAAAGACCAAAACTTCCCAGGAGCTGGTCTTTCTTCCATGGCAAGGCTGAGTGAGATGGAAGAACCTGAATTTCTTGCTGATCCTATGTGTGGCTAGACAGGTCTTCACCACCAATCTCATGCCTTTCATGAGCTTGAAATCCACATTACCATTTTAAAATAAAAAGCAATAACTGTGTGAGCTCCCAGGCTTTCCAAATGCCTATTTATAACTTCATATACCAACAACCAAATTCCTATATATACTGCCATCCCCAGCTGATTTTAATAAGTGAGCCTCTGTTGGATCCCCAGCCCCAAATGATACTTCCCATTCTAGAGGGGCCCTCAGGTAGTTGCATCTTTGCTTTCTAGCTGTCCTGCAAACAAGAATTGCAAGAGAAGAATCTTTGCTCAAGTTGGAAGTGCCAGATTTATTCCTGGTCTGTTTGGTGGAAGAGGAGAGCTTGTTTTCTCCATCTAGGCCTGCCTTAAGTCCTTATCATGCCCAGCAAATATAGATCATACAGGAGGTGAATTCCTTTGGCATCTCACCTGGCATAGCCCGAGAGTGTCTTCTGAAACATCCAGTTTGTAAGGAAAGTCAACAAAAGCATGTCTGATGCTCCTGTGGAAGTGCCCCCCCCCCCCCCCCCAATCACATTTTCTGGAATGTGGGGAGGAAAAAGAAAGCTCAGGACTACATGGAGTTACAGACTAGGAGGTCAGAGGTATTGTGCTTAATTCATCTGATCCTCTTCTAGAAGGAGCCTAATCTTGATTTTGAATTTGCCACAGCCAGGGAACCCAGCAAAACCTTTGGGAGGTTCTACTAGTAGTCAAACATCAGCACTTTGACTAGTCTGAACTTGTCCAAGTTTCAACTTGCAGCTTCTGGGTGGTGTTACACCTCCGTCTTTTGTACCACACAGCCCAGTGGAAAGCTCTGTTCTTGCAGACTGATCAAATCCAGTCCTTCATTTTCTCTGTGATAAAGTGTCAACCTTTTACTATACAAGGCAAACTTCCCACACTCACTCTGCTTTACAGCTTATTAACACCCTCCTAAACTACAGACACTGGGATGGAACAAAGTGGCTGCATCTAGACTGTCCCTGAGATACATACAGCGGGAAGTGGAGGGCTAAAGCTGTTCAGCTTGTTGACTGGCTCCACACATCGACATGGTGGCCTCTGGGACACCATGGCATGGGAGGCTGGTGTTCCTTGCTGGGAACCCACATTCTGGCAGCCCCTGTTTTCCTTTGGAGATCCCAGGACCAAGACTGAGGCATGCAGCAAAGACCATGTCCTGGTCATGGCTGAATGTGGCACATCTGTACGGCTCACCTACACAGGTACAAGTTAGATCCCCACCAAGATTTCTGTTCCCCAGCAGTTCCTCACAAGTGGAGTCGCATCCAATGGACAATGGTTTCGCAAGAGGAGGTTGCAAGGTTGTTAAGATTCACAGTGGGCTTAGGCCTCTGTATCCCAAGAATTTCCTGCCCTTGTCTTAGAGACTTGGTCTTTTGATCACTGCATTTGCTCAGGGATTGGTACTCATCTGGCTATTCACCATGACAAGGCTGCCATTGCTTTGCAGGATAGAGTCCCTGATTCTATAATGACCTCCTACAGTCATTGCTTCATTTACCTTTATATTGGGGTATATTGCTTATATGCTGTTTGCTTATTAATAGCTCACCCTGCATCGGCGACCTCACTTCTTTGTTCACCCCCAATCTGTGTCATCTGCCACCTTTATCAGCAAGGACTTAGTGTTTTCTTCCAGGTCACTGATAAAGATGCAAAGTAACTCAGCTGTTCTTGTTAGCAGAAGGGGCCAGTGGGACTGTCCCTTGCAGCTTGTGGGTTCTTAAAAATTGGGGTTTCTTATTATACTGACCACAAACTTCCCCCAAAGATAAGCTGCCTAGGAAATGACTCCTGTCACTATCCCACTGGTATTCCAGAGCACAGCTCTACTGCACATGGCAAAGAGATTTACACGTACTGAATTCACTGTTAGTACTTTGACAAATAGCATAATGCCTCAGAGCTAGTTCCTGCATAATCACTTCTGTATGTTTTTACTGACCTTAGAAACAGAAGTAGAGATAAGAGCAGTCGAGGAGATGGAAGACATTTTACCAGATGCTCCTTTGCTCTGGGCTGAGACAGGCTGCCTGGAAACTGTTAAAAGACGTGCTCCAACTTCCAGTGTTTTCCTCAGTTTTGCAGTGACACAAACACCCTTTTAAAGGTTTGGGTTAAAAGAGGGATGTGTTTCAAAGGAATGCAAAGGAAGAAAATGAATTTTTGTGTTGTGTAACAGTCCAAACAGATATCTGTGTGTGTGTTTTAATCACGATACGGACAGGTCTGCCTCTGTGGTCATTTATGCATTGGATCCTATTCAGAGGACGTCAGGCAGGGCTACAACCCCAAACAGATGGACTAGTTTAATGATCAACTGAAATGGGAGGCAGCATTATCTGGTTTGAGACATTTTATGCCTAATCTTTAAAAGCTTAAATTAAAATTGTGATGAGTCCATGTTGCTTGCTCCTTCTGATCATGCATTTTGCAGAACCATGTTCACATTGTGATTACGTACCTGGGATTATCTGTGACTTTCACCCAAGCATGTTCTCAAGAAGAATGTGTCTTGACATATCCAAATGCATATCCACCATGGCAAATTCCATTCTCACTGTATATCACTATCAAACCAAAGTTTGTAGAACTAACTAGTCTTTATTTTTTGAGTTCTTCTTCTACATGTTTCAAACATGAGAATTTTACTTGTCTGTGTTTCTGAATTCTCAGAAGCAGCAGAGTCAAATAGGTGAGATCTGTTTTCCCCTAAAGATGAGGATTTCCTGCTGTATCACATATGGCTAACCTCAGTGAAGTTTTAGCTAATGAAGCAATGATAGTGTCAAACGCATTTCACGTCATTCTTTGAGAGGAATATAATGGAGCTGATTGAGGGCTCTGCAGACATTAAAGGCCATTCATGTGTTAGCAATATGGTTTCTCTGTGGTGCTGTGCCTTCAGGCTTACAGTTATGAAAGTGTTTGTAACATTTTCAAGGGTTACAGCATGAAAAAAACTGAGCAATTGCATTTCCCAGAGTCTGTCAACTACTTATCTGAAAACTAAAAACCAGGTTCTCACATCAGGTTGACTTATTTATTACATAGCGTATTACATGCCCATATAATGTACAGGGCACACAATCAATTGTTTTTCTGCTAAAAATGAGATTCAGTAACAACATACACTTTATTTTTCACACTCCAGCAAGTGTGCACCAGCATGCAATTTTATGACTTTGAAAGAGAAATGAAAGCTGGATAACATCTTTAACTTTATTTCAGTTTTATGAATGTCCAGATGTGCTTCTCCTCAGTGGATCCTGTCTGTTCCAATACCTAACTGCTAACAGACATGGCAAAGCAAGGAGAAACCATTGAGATATCTTGTGTTCCCTGTAAAAAAGTGTATTAAATAACATACTCCTAATTCACACACTTTAGAGACCACCCAGATATTTCCAGAGCTGCCATATACCTACAACTGTTATTTTTGCAATGTATATTCAAATGCATTAAGACTGAGTAAAACTAGACTGTAATTGTTGAAGGCCACACACCAGATTACATTGAATTCTGCTGTTTAGTAATTTAAAGAGATTCCAGCCTGAGAAAACATTATTTTTTTTTCAATGTTTTGGCCATGATTAGTGCCTCAGTGAGGTTCTACTATGATTTAATTTACTGTAAGCAGTGTCATTTTATCAGTAGCATGCCACATGTATTGCCTGCGCATTTCCTTAAAGCCTAATTAACCTTCAATATTGCATGGGTTAGTTAGTGTTGAAGGCTCGAGTGCTGGGGTTGTTTTAGCTTGTGTTTCCTTTTAACACCGACCTTTTCAAATTCCCTCCTAGATAATGGGATACGACTTTTAAATGGAAGATATAGCTTTCAAAATGATTTAAGATAATAAGAGATAAAACAACAGAGGAGCTGAAAAAACAGATAGTGTTTCGGAGTTAAAAGGAAAACAACTATCAGTGCCCCTAGCAATTGTATAATTTGGAGACATTTGAAAAAGACAGGTCTTTAGAGGAGGAAAAAATGCCCTAAACTGAACACCACTGCTTTGGGGTTGTGAATTTCAGCTAGTGTGAAACATGCGGGGTACAGATAAACTGCATCTGATGTAAAGCTTCACTGCATAGAGTTAAACCAGCAGAAAATTTGAGTAGGAGGAATGAGCTCAGGCTGGACCAAAACTCCACTTTGTGTGGCCGTGGCAGCTTTGGTCCCATGTTACCAACCTGAATAGGAGGAATAGGCTTATACTGGGGGAAGAACAGTTCTGATTGCAAAGGAAAGGTAGGGTGTGCAGTGCTCTAATTTGTTGTGCTCTGGCTACATCAGCTGCTGGATTCAAACAGCTCAGAAAGACCCACAAGTCCCACAGTGCTGTCTGAGCTCTGCCCTGGGCTGCTGCTCCTTCAAAAATGTCTGGAGGACCCAGTCCAAGGTGATGATGGATGTTTACCAGCTGTGAGAGTCATCACGGGAAACTGCTGCTGCTCTGAAGGTAAGACCTGCTTTTTGGGGTAGAGGATCATTTTCTAAAGAGAGCAGTCTTTGGCATGTGCCAGAAGTATGCTATCTGCATTTTTATTGCAATTCTCAAGGTCTGATTTACAGTATTTAGTGCCATTTGTTTAGTACCCTCCCTTCCCTTTTTTAAAGGAAAGATGACTGGGTCTTTTGGTGGTGGAAACACCTGGAAACCATTACCTTAGCATACTCCAAAGGCTCAGATAACAGAAGGCGAATAGAAGTAGCACAAGTGTATTTATTTGGGTGTTTTAATCTTATGCATTTAAAGCAAATCCGCTGATCATTTCAAACCTCAGTCCTGATCTGTGAAGGCTCAGGGTTGCCAATACTGTTAGTGTATGTGCTGAAGAGTTTCAGCTGATAAAGTTGTGAGTGGTGTGTTCTCTGGTGTGCTGTCTCAAGGGAAAGTTGGACTCAGGAGATGAGGTTTGACTTCATTTGCTCCATGTGACCTTAGTCTGCGGCTTGAAACAGTCTGCTCCTTGTTTCTCCCACTGTCAAATGAAGATAATGATTCATAGCCATTCTTAGGACAGCGCTTTGAAATTTATAAATTAAAATATTATTTATATTCAAGAGGTTCCCAGACAAGGAAAATGAATGATTTCCATAAATGCAATATATTTTTTCCTTGCATCATTCCAGTCTGGAATGTCATGTCTAGTTTCTGGCACTCACACACACTGAGGATGTGTGTGAGAGACAAGTACTTATAATCATTTTATGTATATAGAGTCCCTCTCTATAGCAGGCCTCTGTGTGTAATTTTCTGTATATACCTGTGCATGTATAATAGATATACAGGATACCACGTGAAGTGAACATGAACCCTTCCCATCTCACATTTGTGGGCTGACTGCCTTTGTAGAGCCCTCAGATAGCAAAGCTGTGAGTTTGAAAGGTCAAAACTCAATCAGCCTGTTGCCTAGTGAAATACAGACATTAACAACTTTACTAGCTAAAAGGATGATGTAATGTTTGTCACAGGATGATGCCAGTGTGTTTACCTTAATACAATATTGAACTAAGGTCCAGCCTGCATAATTTTGGTTTCTGTCCAGATGATAATGAAAATTGCCATTGGGTGCCCCGGGAGCTCCACGGAAAAGCTTTCTCTTTTGCAAGAGCAGTTGCACAGGGCAACTGTGTATCTATGAAAGAGTCTAATATCCAAAATAACAAGATAACTGTTGCTGTCTGCAAACTGGGAATCCTCCTTCCCCGGTCAATGGACCAGCTTGGAAGCTCACCTCTGCCTTCTGCTGTGGGTCTTCAAGCTCTCAAGATCATTCATCAAAATGTCTTTCTTCCTGGTTCTCTGTGTTTCTGTATCTACAGAGGTCTTCCTGCTACAGAAATTCCTGGCTGTCTTCGGTTTGACTGTGGTTGCTTTGAAAGGAAAAACTACCTTTTTCAATGGAATCAGTGTGCTGTTTATCTTCCCAGAGCCCTTACTTTGTTAAATAGCTTGAAAGAAAGTTCATGGTTTTTTTCTGTGTCTCTTGCTCACTCTTTTTCTTCATGCTTACCCTGTTCTGTTTCTGTACTGTTTGCTACCCTCATGTAAACTGTGTTTGGTGAGTGAAGGTAAAAATATGAGAGAGTGTTGAAGTGAATATAACAGAAATATACATTGTTGAGGAAAACGGTTTTGTTTTGTAAATCAGCTTGTTTGTTCTTGACTTTTTAGAAATAGCAAGAAGATTTTATATTGGAAAGGTGGTGAAAGGGAGACAAAATATGATAGTTAAGGGTGAATACTGGGAAAGTTGTAACTACACCTTCTACTAAATATGTGTTTGGTAACAAGAAACACAAATATTTGCAGATCTCCTGAAGGAGAAACAGATCATGGAAACCCTTCTTCCTTTCTGATTGCTGCAGGTTGGTTGAGCCACACTTGATCCAAACTTGTGTAGATCTCAGTTCAGATCCCTCCATAAACCTGATCTTTGCAGTAAGCCCTGGAGGATGCTGGCTGCTGGACTTGACTCTGTCCAGAGCAGGTGGATATTTGCTACATAAGGGGCTGTGGAAAACAAAAAAGAAGCTCACTGCACTATTTCCATTTCACAGAAAGAACCTTCTTCTTTAGGGAATAGAGTTTCCCAGTATAGGTAATTTCACAGCTGAGAGACACGATCAGGTTGCCTTAAAGCAGTTAAGAAATAAGCAAGAGTTTAAAAATCTATCGATCGCCTTTTATTCTGAGCCTATTTTTAGAAGGTGGAAATTTTAATATGGATGTTTTTTTCAGGGCAGGGGGAGAGAGAAGAGTAAATTTGCATTGAGAGGAGGGAGAATGAATAAATCTGAAATGGCTTCTCCTGATGAGGCCAGGGTCAGGAAATCACCTCTGCTCAGCTCTGCAGAAAAGCAGGGCTGCTGCTGTCATTGTGTGGGGACTGTAACAAGAGGAACAGGAAAAATATATACTCAAAATTGGCTGCTCAATGCATTGGATGGGGATCCAAAACAGCTCACATCCCCTATCAGTAATTTATACCAAAGTCTGCCTAGTGTGAAAAACCAATTGCTTGAGATCGATAGAGATTTAATGACCTCTGAAGGGAAAATAAACCATTCTGCCAAAATGCAGAAGTTGCGAGCAAAGCCTGCTTGAGCCCTGGAGAAGAAAGGGCATCCTGGGGAGATGATGAGCACCCAGTGATGGGGTGCAGTTGGGATGCAGGGGGTCAGTGTAGGAGCCCTACTTGGCCAGTATTGAATGTATTAGCTGCTGGATGTCTGCAAAGGCTGTCAGATCCATCCATCAGGATCTGAACTTCTTTTCCCTGACTGAAGTGGTGATGATCCACCTCCTGATGGAAGCCCTGGGCCTGAGTAAGGAGGAAAGGGAAGATGCTAGTGGAAGAGGGCACGTCAGAGAAACTCTATGGCTCTATGACTTTGAGATAGAAATGTCTCAAAGGCAGGCACCAAGAGGATGGTGCCAGACTCTTTCCAGTGGTGCCCCGAGCCAGGACAAGGAGCAATGTCCATAAACTAACACACAACGAGTCTCAACTCAGCATGAGGAAGAACTTCTTTACACTGAGGGTGTCAGAGCACTGAACAGGCTACACAGGGGGTTGTGGAGTTTCCCTCTCTGGAGACATTCAAACCCACCTGGACATGTTCCTGTGTGACCTGCTCTGGGTGCCCTGCCTTGGTAGGGGGTTGGACTGGGTGATCTGCAGAGGTCATTTCCAACCATAATGGTTCTGTGATTCTGATTCCTAGAAAATAACAGTCCTGGGGAGGTTTTAGTAGACTTAAACCCAGAACAAAGCTGATCTAAACAGTATTTCTAGCAGATCCAGAGAATCTCCCTAACACTACCATTAGAGACCTCTGCTCAGGATTACTGACTGATTTCTTATTTACACTGTGTGATGTTTCACAGCCAAGCAGAGGTGGGACTGTAAGATATTTAGCACTGGAGTCATGATGAGGCCCTGAGGTGCACTTCAGGAATTATCTGGGCTCTGGCCAAATAATACATTAGACAGTGGTGCATGTTTATTACCAGATTGTCTTGTAACTTCCTGTCTCTCATTAAAGTTTCTGAGTCAATGCAAGTGGAAATAAGAGAGACCCGTTAAGCCATCTAGTCCATCTTCTGTCCAGTACAGGATTCCTCTCCTGAGTTCAGTTGCTTATGCTTTGCAAATATAGTTTAAAATGTATCAAGAAATGCATCACTTCATTGATGAGAGTAATCAATACCCTAACAGACCTGTCGATAAGTTTTCATTTTCTTTTACATTTTTTCCTTTAAAAATATCATCCTCTTGCAAGTTATGCCCACTGGTGTTAACAGCCCTTCTGACATACATAGATGTCTATTGGAACTTCCTCTCTTCATTGCTTAGCCAATACATATATCTTGAGGTCCAGACTTTTGCACATTTGCCCATGATATATTGCTTTGTAAGTAGGCCTATTAAAATGTAGGGGAAAGGATGGAATAAGAATTGAAGTGCTACTCCACGGGAATAAAAGGTGCCCCAGTGCACCCCTAAACTATTTTAATCTTTCCTTAAAAGTCAGCCTAGACAACCCCTTAGACATTACTGTTGCTCTTCACTGAACCTGCCCTTTTAGATGCTAATAAGGTACCCAGGAGTGAATTTAGTATTCCTAGTGTGGTCACACCAAAGCCATATGGAGTGGAATCTTTTCTTCCCTTTTCCAGGAGGTGATGTCTTTGAATCTGAAGCCAAAAAATTTCCCTTTCTCCTTTTTTGCTCAGTTGCATTTAATGTGCTCTCTACTATCACCCTCAGACTTCTTTCAGCATTAGTTTCCTCTTTTTCCCTTCTGTGGAATAACTGAGTTTTGGATTATTTTCTCTAGATGTCTAGGCTTGAATTTCAAATTGAGAGCCCTTCTGTTATTTGCTCCCCATAGGTCATATATCATGTCATCAGCTATTAAGAACAATTCTAAATGTGGATTACAAGTTATGGATTTAATTTCCATTGATTTTCAAGGGGGAAGAAAGAACTGACAATTACCAACATATCTGAATTTAAATTCCATCCCCCTGCCATCAGCAGCAGAAATAATGGCAATATTATTCTTTCCAGCTTAACAAATGTTTTCAGAAATATTTACAGCTTAGAAATTGTAAACCTTCTCCTTAATAATCCAGAAAAGAGATCCTTTAAACCTTTATTTATAGCCAAATGAGAAGTAGAAAATGGCATATTTAGGGTATACAATCATTAAGTCTCAAGGAAAACAAGTATGGGAGCACTCTTCAGGATAGGTGTAGGATTGACTGGGAGAAAACTGTAGTCTAGTAATTATAATTCATTCTTAATTCAAGATGCTATATTTGGCTATGGTACCTGTAAAGTATTTTAAACTAAATTTACCACTGATGTGCACTGAAAAATGAATCCAACTGAACCACACATTCTCTAATGGGTGAAGCAATTTTGCCCGGTTCTTGCAAAAGTTGAAATAAGGTACGCAGATGTTGTTGGTTTCTAAAGTACTGCAGAAAAAGAAAGTGTCTGACATGCAGGTAAGAGTTCTCCACTCTTTTGTACCTAGAGGGAAAATTCATTAAAGTTGCCCTTGTGAAGTTGAACAGAGTTTGCTGCTTTGTCTGGATATATTGAAACACAAATAATCCACATTTCAGCTCCATTTTAGGAGGTAGATATGTTCCTGGCACCAAAATTTCTTCTATTTCAGATTAATTCATGGGATTGGTGGAAGGACATGCACTTGGCCGTTGTCTACGGCACTTTCAACACTGTCACTTAGCTTTTGTCCCGGGGAGTTAAATGAGACTGCTAAAAAGAGTTGACCATCAACAGGTATTTTACTCCAAGATTCCCAAAAAAGGGCTTCCCCCTTCCCCAGTTCCTTCTATAGAGAAGGCTTCACACAGATGTCTGGGTGAGGACTTAAACTAGACCCAGTTTCAAAAATGAACTTACTTTTCTTTTTCCCTAAGTACAGCCAGAGTCTGAGATGATGCAATCCTGTGGGAATGCTATTGTGGGAATAATCTGTTGTATCACTCCAAAAATTGCAGTTCCTGACTTAATTAGCTCACAGAGCTTGAGATATGTAACACTGACCATTACAGAAAGCTTGATGATAAAGGGTAACGATGCAACACAAACACTTTAAATTAACACAAGCTGTGCAGAAACAGACTCCCCAGGATGCTGTGTCTCAGTTTTAAGGAAATTCTCCCAGAGATGGGAGGTACTAGAGTCTGTCCTTTAATTTGCCCTACTTGGACTGATTATTCCTCCTTCGTATGCTAACTTCCATTCCTCTCCAGGAATAGAGACAATTTTGCATATTCAAAACTTTTCGAAATGTTTTGAATATCCAAATCTTTTGATATTTATCCGCACTAAATCTAACACAGATGTTTCCAGGCAGTGATGAACCTAATAACAAATACAGCCAAGTAATAATTAGCCACAATAATATATTGCAATAATCAAACTGTAGTAATACCAGCTTGATGTGGAGAAATGGAAAGAACATTTAAAACCCAAATGTGAGTTCCATAATAAAAGTACTCCCTGCCACTCTGTAGGAATGGCTACAAAAGGTATGGCAGCATCCAAAACCATGAAGTACTTGGCTTGAGTTTTCATTTTTTAACGCAGTTGTCAAAAGTCTCCTTGAAGAGCAAGCCTGGTGCTTGGAAACACATGGGAGTGCTACTGTGGACATTGTGGATGAGAGCCCATGGGAGGAAGGTCTGATAGAGGGTGGGAACCAACACATGTGAACTGGAATGATGTGAGGTAAAAACATGGTGCAGGGCTGAAGAGCAGGGACAGCAGCCTCTGGATGCAATCTCCATTACAGGAATAATAGTGGGGAGCATGTACCTACCCCTCAGGCACTCCAGCTTGTAACTCACTGTGTATTAAGCTCAAGCCACCGAGAAGGGAGGGTTCATGCTAAGGTGCTAGACTGTGCAGTGTCTGAATTCTAATGGCTGTGGCTCAGACACTGGTTCCCTCCTGTCGACTGTCTTGTCAAGAGATTGTAGCCCAGCAGACGGGTGGTAACAAACAGCTGGAAGGCAAGAACAACATTTACTCAATGAATGTGAATGAGAGCCCTGCTTTAAATAAAGTTGCTGTCTGCTGACATCAGTACAATGCCATAAGGCAGTGACTGCTGCAATGGTTTTGGATCTGAGCTGGGGAAGTGGAGCTTGCACAGGTCCATCTTTCAGTCCATGCTGAGATGTCATTGGGGTTTAACATCTTGCGTGCAGGGGGCACCGTATAGGCCCAGGGCCCTGAATCTTGTCAATTGTAGTCTTTGTTTTTTCTCATCAGATTTTGGGACCTATCAATTCAAAGTGGAAGATTTAATTACTAAAAGGTGTGGAAGCTAGCAGCAACAGAAAATAGCTACATATGTTTATATGTATATATATACCATGGACATGAGACACATAATTTATAGCCCTGATTGGGGTGTTCAGCTTAGACACTTTGGACTGACTCCCTGGGATGTCAGTAGAGCCTGTTCCTTGATGTGTCAGTCTTGTATGGCCATCTTTTGAGTTTAGGCTCAGTGATTACCTAGGGATAGACCATAATCTTACAGGGACAGGATAAGTCTTTCTTCACATGGAGAAGAGGCCACGCTATTTTACATCTGCAGTCATAGCTCACGTGAAACCTTGGGTTTCCCTTTGGGATGAATGAGAGAGAAAGAATTCAGCTAGGATCTTTGGTTTTAGAGAGGCCTTCTTTTGTAACTACACCAACCATAGCCTCCTTCAGTACCAGTACTGTAGTTCTATAACCAGAAGAACAGTTATTAAGTAACTTTAGTGCTGTCTGCACCTTCCCAGCAAGCTGAATGTTTTTGCTGGCTGTGTGGTAAATAAAGATTATAAGTATGCCAGGCTAATGAAAGCACCTGTATCTCCAGAAAGTCTATTTGCAAGTTGTAATAGATCTTCATTTTGACTATTTTCTATAAATATAAACTCATGAGAATTGAAGTACTGAAATACTAAAGTTTCCCCAAAACACAGTCAGTTAAAATGAGCCAAAGAGTTGGTCTTCTTTTAGCTAACTGCAGACTTCAAGAAAACAACTGGAATTCTTCTGAATGCAAAATCACAACATGTAATGCAGTGGCTAAATACTGATACATGTTATTTAGTTTCAGAACCTATTTCTTACATATATTTTACTATCCCTCCAGGTACCCAGAGTCTTTCTTGACATTCTCCATTTTGTGCAACCACCTGGATCAGGTGGAAGTGAGGTTGCCCTGTGCATATTTCTGTTACATTGGCAGAAGTGCCCCAGGTAAGCACACTTTTTTCTGGCTTGTGTTTCATTACCTTCCTGAGCTGCCTTTCTGGAGATATCTGTTCAAGTGAGCTTGAGCCAATGGAACACCAGGCACCAGCCTGAGGATCTTGGCTTAATGGAATCATCTTGCCAGGTACATGGGAAGCCTGGTGACAATGTGCTGAGCAGTGATTTGGAGCGTGAGCTGTTCCACCAGCTCCAGGCATGCCAGGCCCAGATGAACTCGCTGAACTTGAGGTACGGAGCCACCCTGTATGTAAGCAACAGGATGCAGGGGTTTTGCTGTGCAAGAGGTGTCCAACCATCTGCCACGTGCCCGGCACGTCTGCTTCACCCCACAGCTGTGTGACTGCTCAAACACAACTGTTGTGTGCCTGTGTAGCAGTAAATTTCCCAGAAGTAGTGCTTCCTGCCTGAAACTGTGTGCATGTGTGGGACAAGGGTGGCAGATTCCCAGTAAATGGAGTGTGTGTCACCCAAAGACAGATGCTTGTAAGATCTCCAGATACAAAGCCTCAGAAGTTCAAACCAGAACCCTGAGGGAACTCTTTTTGAGAAAACAGTGAACAGTCAGACCCAAATCCCAAGAAGACTGTTACCCCTCTGGAGGCAAGCCAAAGAAAATGTTCACACCAGCATAAACCCAGGGATTTGGTGTTATTCTACTGGCAGTGTAGTCAGTTGCCTGGCTGGAAAACCAGATGAAGGAGGAGTGCTGCATCTTTGTCTTCTCATGCAACTTTTGTTTCCAGAATTGTGGTGATAGGAGGAGCATCTTCAAAATCTCTGCCGAAACCAATGACTATATAGGCAGAAATTAAGCACAGCTGTGCCTAGTAAACATTACCTAATAACAGCTCTGTAAGACTCCATGAATTGGGATCTTCTTACAAGTGATGCTGCAGCCTCATATGGGACTAATTCAGACAATGAGATGCAGGATGCATGTGGCTGCCCAACACTCATGATAGACATGGTAGATTTTGTGATCTCCTGTATGTTCCTGATATTTCTTTTCTCTTTCCTTAGGCTTCTTACTTTACACACATACCCTGCCTAGACTGAACTGCTGTGTCTGCTGGTTAGTAGCAATTTTGCCAATGACTTTTTGGGGACTGAGATATAATACCTGGTGTATGAAATTCTTTCATACCTGTTGCATAAAATAATTTCATCCTCTGTAGGCTCTCTCATTTTGATATGTTGGAAAATGAGTGACATTTACTGTCTGTGAGAACTGCCTGCCACGCTCTCTAGGTATGGTCTACAGTTGGCATGCAGGCTGTAATTAAAAAAACCCATTATGCACTGATCACCAAAGGAGCATTTGTTTATTTTGCCTGCAGCTCAAGTTGGCCATTTCAATATTGGTCTAGCTATAATTACATTAATATAAATAAAGCTGGAGTGTCTGTGCTTTACCCAACTGAGGGCTACACTCGAGTTTTGGCAGAGCCAGAGGGATGAATCTGATTTGTTGAACAGATCGATCAGATCGCAGCCAGCCTCGTAATGCAAAGGTGATAACCAGAGATGCCAAAAAGAGCTAGCCACCTGCAGACTTAGATCAAATAGAGCCTTCTACATGGAGCCCTGTGGTGCACCAGTGGCACCTACGCTTCAAAGGCAACCCACAGGAGAAAAGTGAGCCAGTGACCTTTGGTTTTCCATAAGGAAGCACAAGAGATTGCTGTTGGGTTTTCCTAACTTCATTTGGTACAACAGTAGGAATATACAAGTAATTAGAGCCTGAGATGGTTGGATTTGCCTTTTCTCTGTTTTGTCTAGAAGCTTTCCTGGAGCAATTCTTCCAGATTCAGAGCTTTCTCACGTTTTCTGAAGGGCCAGATGTACATGGGGAGGCCTGTGCTGGCAGGGAACAGGCTTCCAGCAGCAGACCCATGTGCCAGTGGAACAAGCTGAGCTAGTAAAGCACAGCCCTGACAGTGTATCTGGCCCCAACACACCATACATGGATGGAGGCTGGCTCCACGACCAGTTTCATGTCCCCGACATTGCTGAGTCAACAGAGCTGTGCCAGGTGGACCTGGCCAAAGTCATTTTGCTGTTCTCCTGCAAGGCATTTGAGCTACACAGGTAATGTCAACACCAAAAGCATCAGCAAACTATAAATGCTCTGACTAAGAAATCCCTGTTCCTATTTCACTTGCACTTCCCTACATGTGTCCCTGTGACATTATAATCCTGCCGGTCCTCTGGTGTCTGGCTTGGAGTATTCTGGGGAAGAGAAGTGATAAGATTCAAGCTTTTAATGAAAAGAAAAGAAAAAGGAAGCCTATAAATATGTCTAAACTTGGCAATTATAAACTCTAAATGGGAAAATAGGCAGAAGCATATTGCATCTTTTCTCCTTTGGCATCTTTAACAATACCAGGGGAGAGCAGCTTTAATGAATGCTGGGACTATCCACACTGTGGACACAAATCCAGACCCTGACTGCACATTAATTTTGTTCTGACCTAAGTAAGGTCCCCATTCTGCTTGTTTGCAGGACAGGCTGCATTCCTTGCTGCTACCACCACCTGTGATGCTACTGGCTCTTGCAGCACCATTGTCTTTGCTCGCCCACTGCTCATGCTCCTGATCTTCCACCCCTATAGAATCACAGAATGGTTTGTGTTAGAAAGGACCTTAAGATCATCCAGTTTCAAACCCATGCCATGGGCAGGGACACCTTCCACTAGACCAGGTTGCTCCAAGCCCTGTCCAACCTGGCCTTGAACACTGACAGGGATGGGGCAGCCACAGCTTCTCTGGGCACCCTGTGCCAGCACCTCAGCACCCTCACAGGGAAGAACTTCTGCCTTAGATCTAACCTGAACTTCCCCTGTTTCAGTTTGAACCCATCACCCCTTGTCCTACCGCTGCCGTCCCTGATGAAGAGTCCCTCTCCGGCATCCTTGTAGCCCCCTTCAGACACTGGAAGTTGCTCTGAGGTCTCCACGCAGCTTCTCTTCTCCAGGCTGAACAGCCCCAATGTTCTCAGCCTGTCTCCATACAGGAGGTGCTCCAGGCCCTGATCATACTCGTGGCCTCCTCTGGACTTGCTCCAACAGCTCCATGTCCTTCTTATGTCAGGGACATCAGAACTGCATGCAGTGCTCCTTCAGCTTTGCAGCCACTGCAGTACCCCAAAGCTGAGCAGGAACTGGCACTTGAGAACTTGCCCCACTAGCAGTAAGGCAGCAAGGAAAAGCAAGAAGAAAAAGGATACTGGCAATCAGTGTCAGCACATCCTTCTTGTGTACTGCCTGTCTGCAGAAACCACTGCTGAAGGATGATGCAGGGGTGGGATAGAGTGCCCAGCAAGGACAGGGCGTAGGGATGCGCAGGATATAACCCAGGAAAGAAATCCAGAGGAGTCTGCAGCCTCAGATCTCTCTGAGAGGAGCATGTGAGGTCATGCTCTTTGCCAACCCCAAGCACTGCTCCTTTCCACATATGCAGCCAGTTTTGGGGTCAGTCTTCTCATAGTTCTCCCTACGGCAATGCAGCAAACACATCCCAAGTGCCAGGGAGCTGCAGCATTAGTTGCTGTATCTTCCTTGATGAAACTACTGATGTGCTACAGAGGAACTGACAATTTTAGATCACTACTGGGGGAAAACATGTCAAAGATTAACTTGTCGCACCGTAGTGCTGGTGTCTCATGCAGCAGCGAAGGAAGAAAAGGCTCCACACTGCACTGAATCCACTTTTGTCTTTGCAGGGTACTGGCTGCTTCTGTTTGAAAGGCTTGCATTGTATCACTGTTCTTTTTTATCAGGTTTCCCATGGTGGTCAGTGTTACATATCTTACATTGTTTGAGCTAATTAAGCCAGGGAATCAGGGAAAGCACATTTCCAGTGGGGATTTATTGCCAAAAGATATTTCAGCTGAAGGGGAAAAAAGGAAATCTTACTTTTTTGTCCAGCATTTCTGAGCTGTTTCATAATATTCAGCGTCCAGCTTCATGGAAGTAAACTGACAATGGTGTCAGGAAGTTTGAACTTGAGCAGTTTTCCCTTGTTTTGTTGAATTTAAAAGCACTGTAAAGAAAGCAAAGGATTTGTATAGCCACAGAAACAATAATGTTTGAATCATCTTGGAAACAGAATTAGACACGTTTGTTAATGATTTACACACAAATGCTTGTTTGCTCTCAAGGTGCTTTGTGCCTCTATTATTTGCACCTACTTCTGTGTTCCTTTACAAGTGATCTACATCTTGACTGGTATGTATTTAGGGTGCTGGTAGGGTGGCATGGGTCACTACTGTCTGCACCAAGCCTGGTTGTTCACAGCAGCATAAAGTGGTGCTTAAAGTGGCTGATGGCAGTGCTGGAGCCTACCGTCAGCTGCCCATGGGGTAGAGCCTTGACTGCAACAGGCTTGTCAGCCCAGCCGAAAAGGGAAACTCTGCTCTTACGTATGGGATATTGCACATAGGTTCATTGTTAGGAAATCCTGTGTGTGAACAAAGCCCTGCTTTTCTTCCAGATAATATTAATAATCCCTGTCGGTAGGACTGGTGATGATGACAGTTTATTCATTTTCACCAGTAGGTCTGAAAGGCTTTGCTGAAAGAAGCGAGGATGATTATCCCCTGCCTGCCAGGGGAAACATGAGCAACTGGGGAGTGCTGTTGATTATTAAAGGCATCCAGTGTTTGGGATGAGAAGGTCCTGTTTCTAGCTTTGTGTAATTTCTCTCAAGCTTTGGCTGTTCGGAATGAAATTGTCTTCAGATGTCTTCTAAAGTGTGGCTTGTTACTTTTTGCTTTGTTTTCTTTGGGTTTTTTGATAGGTAGTTTCAGCTGAAATATTTCAGCTCTCCCAAATATAATGAAGAAAAGGGGTTTCACCCACAGAAAAAGAAAAGGCTGGCAACTTTGTCCTTAGAAAACACTGGCAGTGCCCCTCATATGAAACAGGGACTGAAGGTCTCATATCACTGTCCTGTCAAAGAAAATTTACTTAACTTCTAGGCCTCTG